TACAATGTCAGTTATTAGCCCCAAACTTACTTTAATTAATATTCCTTTAATGTTCAAACATAAACATAATAATCATCTACTTAGTATTTAAAATGTATATTCAGTAAGATTTATGGGATACAAATGAATAGAGTTGTCTGTGTCTGGATTTGTTCAACTTCTTACAACATAAATCCCACTGTTAGTGGAGTTGAGCTGTCCCTAATTCTTCATGATCATCGCTTAAGTTGGTCATTGCTAAATGACTGTCCCTTCGGATTTGAAAATTCTGTTGAAGTTTTCTGGGCACTGAATTGCCATAGATCCTTCAATAGCCTTAATGTTTTAATTATCCAAACCAATGTCAATACAAAATATTAAATAGAGTGGAATGATGTCAACATGACTTGGCATTTTATAGAGACTTCCTAGGAATTCTGTGTTGAGCATTCAATGAACCATAATCAGTCGAGAGCAGACCCACTCAGTCTAGCATGCCTGTAGACAATAAAATCATATTCGACATGACTTCCATGATTTTTTTCACTGAAGATTAATCCATGTATGGATTTTTGTGAGCAATAACTACTATGCAAATGATGGAAGGAAAATAGCTATGATCTCAAGGTCTCCTGCTATGCTGGCAAGGACAAGCATAAGAACATTGTAAGTCCAGTGACGCCAAACCTGAGAAAACTTATCCATTGGACTAGAAATTTAAATTGTTGCGCCTGTGAGTTGTCTTTACTTTTATCTCCAGCATGCAGCATACATGCACAAAAACCTTCAAGTAAGTCAGGTACAGAGAGAATGAAGGAGCAAAGGAGGATTAAAATATGGACAATTTTTTTCTGGATTGTGTGCAGAAATGGTTTGTGGAACTTGCAATTTCAATTAACTGGACCTTCTCCAGGAAATAAAATCAGAGTACAGTAGGGGCAAGTTTGACTGTTCACAGACAGCCTGGTCAGAAGTGGCATTTGCCGATACTCTATGTCATTTATCATAATTCTTTTCACATTATTGACAAACACATAAAAAATAGGAAGAAAATAGATACTTTCTGGCTTATCTAGAGAAATAGCACCATGTCATCTCTTAAAAGAGGCAACTAATGAAATTCCAACCTGAGAACTCTCCCTAAAATACTTTCACCAGCAATAGTCTTAAAGTGATAACTCAAAAGGTAGGCATGACAGTCAAAAACTGTGTCTTCCAAGCCCAAGTGTATGCATGTGCATGCCAAATGCAGAATTTCAATCTGTTCACCTATGAGAAAAACCTATTTACAAAGTTGATTTCTTTCAATATCCAATACGTGCTACCTACACAGTAATTGCATTTCCTAGACTCAGGCCAAGAACATAGCAAAGACAAATAAGGTGGATCATAACTGTGTTCTAGGAAGCATCTTTTCATTACTAGGTTAGCAATATTTATAAAACATTACTTACCTGAAGGGACTACAATGAGCTTAGTTCCTTCTCCAAATATTTTGATTGTGCCAGGACTATCACTTTGGTCATAGCTTCTACATAAATCTCACTGGTCTCCAAATTTCATGAGATGACCAATGGCTTGACAACGCTGTCCTGTCAATGAGATCCTGGATCTTGTAGAATCTGCTACATTGTAAGTTTCCTCATAAATTGAGTTTGTAAACTGTCCATTTTTTAGCCAAGTCAATAATTATTACAGCATGCCAAAATAAATCGTAAATGCAGCACATAAAAATGACTGAAGAGAGCCAGGCCAATTGGTCAACCAACTACTTTGCTAAATAACCAGCAAATGTATTCTGAGGATTAAGTCAATTTTTTAAAAAAAATTCCCAGCTGCTCTGTTCTGGTGAAACTGTTCAGTGCTTGCAGCAAAAGAACAAGCCTCCTGTTCACACAAACATCAAAGACGCTTCTTAGCAAATTGGGAAAATTGTTCTGAAAAGAGGAAGCTCTTTGGTAACTGAAAATGTAAACTGTGGCAACCCAGTTAAGAAACATGAACCCATCACTTCCAGTGAATCAATACACACAATTTAGCAACATTAAAAGATGGTGACAGATGAGTAATTAATTTTGGTGAAAATATTTTTTTTTCCTGGAATAAAAGAATACAGTATAGACTCCTGTCTACCATGAAACTGTGGCCTCTGTGCTTAAATGAGAATGTGGTGGTAATTCTAGTTCTCTGGTGAGAGGAAGAGACTCTTGGAAAATTTCTTTAATCTTGTCTAATTTACCATGGAACAGAGAAAAAAGAAATTGCTGGAACCAGTCAAGTCCTCATTTAACTACAGAGGAGGTACCCAGCTGTAAGGACCAAGGCGGACAGGCCCTGACAATACCCATGTCCACTGCAAACATACCTGGTCTTGGCCAACCTTCCAAGGGCAAGTGTAGTTTGTGCACATGAAGGGTGAGGGGAAGAATTTTGTGACCAATTGTGCAGTTAAAGCAACTCAGAGCTACCAGCCTACTTAAGAGAACAGGAGGACTAGATGAGAAGTATGTCCAGAAAGTGTTTCCAAAATTTAATTCACTGATACAGTGACTGATTGGAAAAGGTTGTTTTAAATGAATAATTCTACGTTTCGCTACTTGGAGCTGTGGATTACACTTTCTAATTTGGTATATGTAAGTGAAACAATTTCAAGCCTTTTTTATGCACTATTTATCCTTATTCCAAAGCCTGAAGAAGATTCACTAGATGCCCTACAAATTATCTGTATTTACATAGCCATAAAGGACCTTGGCAAAAATATGAGAAAAATGTCATGATTAATAAAATTCTTTATTCCATTTAAAAGAAAATATAAGAACTTTGTGAATACTACACTATAAGATTTGACTCAGGATCTATAATAAAACCTGAATGTGTGGAGAAACACATTGAAAAATAAAAAGCTATTATCATAAAACAACAAATGCTCCCTAGTTCATATATGGATTGATTGCAATTCCTAACAGAGTTATCATACCATTGTATTTTTTCTGTTGTGCAGTGAAATTTCCTGATGAGTTTTTTAAGATTCTTATAAAAATGTATAAATGTGATACAGTGCAAAAAGCATGCACTACAAACATGGCATAATAAAATTAAATAGTAAAACCCTAAAATAATAGCAAACAGACATTTGTCATAAATTTTAAAACCCATTAAAAGCTACTTTTATAATAGTGATGTAAGAATGATATAGTGAGATAAATCAGAAATCTTCCAGAAAATATATTCTCAGTATTATGATATTCAAAATATTATACAGCTTTTTTTAATTGTAGAGGAATGTTGATAAATCAGATACTATTTAAAAAATAATTATTTATTAAAAAGCGATAAAAAAGAAAGTGATAAATTTACATACATCTCTCTACATCCTCAGTGTGAGCAAGTTCTCAAGTAGAAAAAATTTAAATGGAAAGCGGCAAAGAAATATTTATATCACAGTAGCACATAAAATAGGAATTTCCTTTGCTGTGGAGAGGAGCAAGGGTGAGGGTGAGGAGAAGAAACATTACTCAACTATTACTTTTCATGAAATGAGTACGTGTGGAGTTTTAATGCTTAAAACATTTTCCAGAAAAAAGATTTCTAAGGATTCAAGGACTAACAGTCACTACAGAGAGTCCATTAGAGTCCCATGGGGAAGAAAGCGCCATGCCAGGCACTGCGTTTTAGGAAAACAAGCCTGGAGTGGCAGGAGGGGAGGTCCTCGGGAGAGCAAGTACAGGGACACAGAGGCATCTCACATGGAGTCACCATAAGTCAGCAGAAGGAAATCAACTTATGTTGCTGCTGTGACACTGAGGATGACAGGCTGACTGTTGACATGACCTCTAATATCCTTATTAGAATTTTTAAAAGGTTTCTAGGAAAGTAGTCAAATTATAGTCTTAGGTGGCTGAGAGAAAAGAACCTTTGAAAGTCAGAAAGATCAGGGTGAGATTTCAGTGTTCCTGTTCCAGGTAGAGTGACCTAAGGTGCACATACTTCTGGAAGCCTTAGTTTTCTCATGTGAGAGATGAGGAGGATGAAACCCCATTTCTCAGACTCCATAAGGCTCTAGTAAAAGAATATGTTTAGAAAAGACTGGGTTTTGCCATGTGTGTTAAAAGTTTCATTATCTTTTATCATTGCTGTAATTTAGAGCAATGTTCCCTCATGATCTTCTTGTACTCAGAGCAAAGGCTTTGGGTAAATAACTCAGTTATGGGTACCTACCGTTGCTTTGCTGTTAAATGACGATGCTTCGCTAGAGGTGGGTCATAGTAGTCATCCTTAGAAAGGGTGTATCTCTCTCCTGGGATCTTACCTTCTCTCTCCTCTTCCTGAACACCATAATGTAAGTAACTTTCTTCTACCCAGACTCTTTCACCATGGGAGTAATATTTCAGCCTACCAATCATGGACTGAAATTTCTCAGAGGTGAACAATGCTTTACTTTAATTTGCTAATGATAACTGTATTAAGTCTCAGAAGCAAGGAAAGTGACTAAGGATTTGGTAATTTGGTACCAGAGAAGAGAGGCCATTGCAGTGGCTGATTTAAAAGCCTTTGGAACTGATTCCTGTGAAGAGTTTGAAAAGGTTTACTGATGCCTGTTATAGAAACCCTAGAATACTGTAACCTAAATTATATGGAGAGTCTGGTCAGGGTTTAGAAGATCAGAATGCTGTTAAAAATGCAGAGGAAAAATTAGCTCATGAGATTTCAACTGAGAACCAACACTACATTAACGATTGGATGACAGACTCTGTATTTTACACTTTGACAGACAATTTATTTGCATTTGGCATATTTCCTGACAATTAAAGGCACTCAGATTCAGAAAACTGGACAAATTAATGTCATGAAGAAAATTTTAAGACAGGCCGGTGCTCAGATTAGTGTATGTACTGCTTACCCACATGAAATTTACATTAACAGGAACAAATGTTCATTTGAAATATATTGAATTTTATTATAAAGGCACCATCTATAAAGATGTGGCCTTTTTTTGGCCCAAGAAAACTTAATCCTGAAAAGTTTAGCAAATAAATTAGCCAAGTACTTTGTACAATGACAATAGAAAAAGATGTCTCGTCAGTAATGGAGAAATCAACAAGATCTCTCTGTAGAGATATAGTTTTGAGACAAAAGTCTGATGTCCCAAGAGAGCAGGTAACACTAGACTGAGCCTGAGGAGGGTTACTGTCTGTTTGCAAATTCCCAGAAAGCTGGGACCCAAAGCAGCAGATAACAGCTTCTCCTGTAGGAACTCTGTCCTTTGATCCCTTGCTTGGGATGTTATTGGCTAGCATTTGTGTAAACCTAGTGTTAGGCAAATGGTGGAAGTTAATAGATATAATAGTTTATATTCACTTAGGTAATTATGCACATTCCTTAGTCTGCCTTTACCCCTCAATAAATGTGAGATGCTTCTGAGGCTCTGGGCTCACTTGGAGAGAGACTAATCTCAGTGAGAGCTCTGAAGCTACATTCATCAGGTCTTCTTGTCATTTCTTTTGGCACTGACCCGTAACTTACAACATCTCTCCCTTCCTGAGTGCAAAGCTATAAATCCTTCATTTCAAAAGAGAGCTTTAGAAAGTCCAGATCATAGGTGGTCAACCAGAAAAGTTTGCCAGAGGTTAGCCATCTGAGCTCTATGAAGGTCTCTGCAGCCTTGACCCATGTGGGCCTAGCTATGGCTTGAGCTGGTGTCAAATTTTGGAATTGGCCCCATAGTATCAGGTTTTTCAGGCATGGTGAATGCAAGGGTTTTGAGTCCCAGGAGGCTTTGTTTTGTTTTGTTTTGTTTTGTTTTTTGGGGAGGCTTGCTCATGATGCCTTCAGGGCAGGTCTGTTTTGGCTTGAGGATGAGGGGATCGAACCACAGCATCCTGAGCCTGAATGCTTTGTTTCAAGCAGGCACTTAAACACCTGAGCTAATGGGCAGACCCCCGAGGCTTTGTTACAGACGTAACAACATCTTGGATGTCAGACAGTGTGTCCCTAAGAGACTGGAGCCAAAAGGGCAGGGGGGAACCCAAAGAATTTTGTAGAAGCCAGGATCATAGCCACCAGCTGTGTAGGGGCACATGTAGAAGGCAAATTCCGACCCAGAAGAGAAACCAAGTAGGATGCAAAAAGCAGTGTGCCATAGAGACAGCAGCGTTGAAACATTTTGGAATTTTCATCCTGCCCCAAGCAGGCCTGGGTGCTAGACATGATGCAACAGGATTTATTGATTGCTTACTACATTCTGGTATTTCTTTGGTCCAATTCCTTTGTATCTCTATCTTCCTCCCTTTTGGAATAGTTTTTTTTTTTTTTTTGGTGGTACCAGAGATCGAACTCAGGCCCTTGAGCTTTGCCAGGCAAGCACTTATTCCACTGAGCTGTCTCCCCAGCCCTGAAGGGGAATGCTTTTGCTGTGCCATTCCTTGTTGAAAGTATTAGGCTTCTTCTGTTGTTTGTTTGTTTTTATTTTTCTTTGTTTTGTTTACATAACCTCAGAGCTAAGAATTTTTTGAGTCTCAGAGGAAAATTTGGAGCTGGACTTTTCAGGAATGCTGAAACTGTTAATACTTTGTGAATCTTAAATATGGACTAAATGTGTTTTCTAAAAGGAGATGTGCATGATTCTTTTCAGGCCTGGAGGTAGATGTTACGCTATTGCTCATCCTTTAAGAGCCTCATACTCTGAGTCATGGTTTCTGTAAAGTGGCTGCACTGTGGAGCTTGCAGTTAGGAAGTTCAGCCTGATTAGAGGGTTGGTCTGGTCGGGTACAGCTTCTACTTTGAGCCTCCCTTTTGTCTCTGCTTCTTCCTGACTGCCATGATATAAGCAGTTCTCCTCCACTTCCAGGATATAAAAGAAATCAGAGCAGAAATAATCTCTGAGGTAAACAAAGAAATGACAACAATCATAAAAGATTAACTCAGCATAGCTAAAGAAAAAAGTATAAATAAATAATATAGAAGAGAAAAAGGATGGAAACTAAATGAACAATACAAGAAAAAATTAGATGCATGAAACAGAGGCAAAAAGATATTCAAGAATTAGGAATTCCATTGAAAACTCATAAAACTGCTTGAATGAACTGGAAAATAGACTTTCAGATCTTAAAGGTAGCAATGTAGTTTTTGAACACACAAGGAATGATCTCTTAAAAATGGCAAAGAACCAGAAAATAACAGTTCAGCAACTACAAGATGATGCAAAGAAAACCAATACAAAACTAATAGGTGTCAACAAAACAGCAGAAGTAAGCACAAATCACAGACACACAGACACACAGACACACACACACACACATTTGCAGAAGTAGTACCAAAATATTTCCAAGTATGGGAAAAGAATCTGACATACAGAAATATGAGGCATAAGAAACACCAATGAGCCATAATCAAAATGAAACTACACATAGATACATAAATCAAGATCCCAGAAATTCATCAAAGGAACAGATTATTAAAACTGTTAGACAATAGAACCAGATCAGCTACAATGGAAAGCCCATCAGCATCATGAGATAAGTCTCAACACCAACCATTAAATTAAGAAGAGCTTTCATGAAGTATTTAATGTCCAGAAAGAAAACAACTTCCAAACCAGATTGGTGTTCCCAGAAAAACTGTCAACTTTAATGGAGAGATAAGATATTTCCATGACAACCAATAATTGAAGAAATCTGTGACCACTTAAACAACCCTACCAAGAATACTGAGAGATATTCTAGAAAGAGACAGAAATGATCACAACTTCAAGGACAGCAACAGAAAGGAGCCATTAAATATAGCAAACAACCAAACAAAAAGAAAAATTGGGAACTTACAGTAGGAAAATAACATGTTAAAGTAATTCATTGCCTATCAATTGTATAATCAACACCAATGGGTTCAATTTACCTATCAAAAGCAGCAGACCAGCAGAAGTGATTAAGAAGCAAAATCCAACAATATGCTGTATATAAGAAACATATTTAACTCAAAATCAAATTCATAGACTAAAAGTCAAAGGATGGAAAAGAATACTCTATGTGACAGGAATCCAGAGCAAAGCAGGGGTACCTGTTCTGGTTGCTGACAATGTCAACTTCAAACCAAATGTGATTGAAAGAGACAAAGAAGATAGTCGTACTTGTTAAAGGCAAACTGCAAGAGGAAGAGATAACAATCATAAGTACATGTGCACCCAATGTAATAGCACCCAACTACATAAGACAAATTTTAAGGAACAAGAAATATTACATGACAATTGCACAATTGTAATGGGGGACTGTCACAAAGAGATAGATCAACTAGGAAAAACTTCAGCAAAAACAAAAAATAAAATAACAGAACTAAACTACATTTGTGAAGAGATGGACTTAGGCCCTTTCAGAGTATTCTACCCAACAACTTCACAATACACATTTTTCTCAGCTGCATTGAGACATTTGCCAAAATAGAGCATATAGCACATAGCGCACACTTTAGTAAATACAAAGGAGCTGAAATTATCCCATGCATATTATCTGACCATAGTGCAATGAAACTGGAAATCATTGACAAGGATGTGTACTGTCACTACTCCTGTTGACCTGGTGAATACAGTTCTGAAAACATTTGTCCAAGCAAATAGGAGAGAGAGAGAGAGAGAGAGAGAGAGAGAGAGAGAGAGAGAGAGAGAGAGAGAGAGAGAGAGA